GTACCCTCGAGTATGACCACGTCCTCATTAAGGATGTTGTTAACAGTTGAAGTTCCACTAAAACTTATTCTTATCGCCATCATTTGCGCATAAAGTTGGAACATATACATTGATGACTATTGCAGAACTATTTGTAAAATTTTCTTTTATATATCGTTGGGAAACCGATAATCATTTTAAAGTAATGTAAAATAATTACAGGCTTTTATTTCCTATTTTTTTTTAAATTGTAATAATCATGATTTAATAAAATTTGCAATTTCATATTTGAAAAGTGAAAAAAAAAATTTATAAATCGAAAAACATTTAAATTATATTCTCTAAAAAAATATTGCAGAATCGTTGTGATCTTAATGATAGTTTCATCACTGATATTGATGATAACGACTATTCGGATAAGCTTTGTTCTTCATATGCATATATATCAAAAATTGAACCAATGAGTGCAGCGTATCAGGCAAATCTTCATTGTGGTGATCAAATAATTACTATCAATGGGAAATTTATCGAAAAACTTACAAACAAACAAATTTGCGATATTATACGATTCAGCTTTCGCTTTTTTTCGTAAATTTTCAGTAAAATGAGGAATTGAGACGTTCTAGCTGGATTTTTTCTAATGGCTCCTATTATTACTTGTTAGGCTTGCTCTGGTGGCTACAAGGATGAACCTTTCGATATAAAAATACCCATAGTAAAAGTAACAAAGGTATTATCTTTTTCAACCATCAACATAGCTGTCTAACAAGGCTGATGTGAGGTGAACTTAATAGCTGCTCTTGTTTGAATCTTTTATTTTATGTGTACGATCACAAATAGAAAATGAACCGCTTGTAACTACAAAGTGTCATGGCTCTCATTAAAGTCTGTTCGCAACCCGCTTGAACTTCATTATAACCTCTAAATACTCCTTCAAACAGCACTGTTTTTAATGTAATCATTTTTCACTTGCCATTTATGGTCAATTCATCTCGTCGGGCAGCTAATACGATCCATGAAGTTACTTGGTGACAGAAGTACACATGGATCATCCAGCGTTTTTTAAATTGCAGGCTTAGTCTCTTCTAGAGGACAGGAGCTGAACTCTTCCATCACAGCATGATCCAAGCCTTTATCGAAAACTTAAAGTTAAAGCAACAAATTAAAGTTAAAGTTAAAGTTAAGGCTGAAGAACAAAAGATTTAATGGAAAATCCATGAATTATTTATCTAAAAAATTTTTATTTTCGATGGACAAAGATTCGTAATAATTAATAATTTATAAAATTAATAATAATAATAATAATAATAATAATAATAATAATAATAATAATAATAAATAATAATAATAACAATAATAACAATTAAAAATAATTAATAATAATAAATAACAATTAATAATAGTAATAATTGATAATAATAATTAATAATAATAAATAATAACAATTAATAATAATATAATAATAATATAATAAATAATAAATAATAATAATTAATAATAATAAGTAATAATAATAAATAGCAATTAATCAAACAGCAATTCCTGACGGTTCGTTTTTATTGAGTGATTTTGTTGACCTCTGTCCGTATTCCATTTCTCCATTCTTTATCGACTTCTTTGTTAAAATCTTGCCATTTATCGCCATTCTTGAATTCATTCATCGATCTGCTCGCTTGACCTCTGTCTTGTTAACCTCTAGCTCTTGACATTGCCATTCTTTTTTTGCTTGTTTTTTTCCATTTCGAACGTCAATTGTTGTTGATTCGTTGATTGCCGCTCATTTCAGTTAAAAACGGTTATCAGCTAAGCTACAATTCCATTGTCTTTATAGTTGTTTGCTTTATTTTTGCACGATTTATTCACTTTTTATGCATGTATTTTTCTCATCGCTCTATCTGATCCGATTTTTTGATATGCCTTTTTGATATGCCTATTTGCCTTTCACTACGAAATTGCCTAATAGAATTCTTGCTGGAGCGAGGATAATCGAGTGGTTGTTGCTTAGTTAGATTCTCGTTCCGAGGTGTTTAGGTCCTATCTGCTGTAGGAATGATTTTTCGTTGAAAAATCCTGGTGGTGCTGGCGACTAGGCTGCACTCCTCGCCAAATGGTACTGGCATGGACTTTTCATCATACTGATAACTAATGGAGTGAGCCTAACCAGAAATAGTGAGCACTAACCGCATTTATTTGACAGAATTATTGGTTTAATTCTGCTATTCCATTTAACTTTCCATTTAACTTGCCACATCCCTATATCCTTTGAATTTTTCAGTTGTTATTTCAAATTTGTTTGTTTATTCTTTTGTTAGTATTTAATATTTCTTTTACTTTGACATTGCGAATTTGTTTGAATGAATGTGAAAAATTTCCCTCTTTTATTGCTATTTAGATGAAATTTTATTGCTATTTAGACATTAATTGCTGAATATAATACATATTTATTTAGTCTACTGTTGTGGGTCTTTGTAGATGGAAATAATATAGCGTACTTGCTGAAGATTCTGAAAAGATGTTTTTCAGAGAACATTTCGTGCTTAAACTAGCTGTAAGCGTTAATTCTGATAATATTCCATTGTGAAATATCACTCTCTCCAGTACTTCCTCTTGTTTTTAATTTCTGAAAGGGTTCAAAAAACTGGTGTTAGCCTAGAAAAATCCGCTGATAAAATCCGTCTTTAAAAAGGAGGACAGGGCATCTTCCAATTATACACGACAAATATCGTCTAAAAAAGTTACATGGATACTTTGGCGCACACAGATTCTATTCAAGATAATCTACCAATTCATAACTGCTAGATCTATATTGTTGTAAAATAATAGCTGCCATCTGCAGTTGCTGTTGCTTATCCTTAATAATCTAGGAAATGTCGGTAATTTAGGCTCTAAGGTGGATATGAATAAACAGTTCCAAAATTGCGAATTCTTCCATTTATCTCCATGCTGATGATTTATTCTCATGGCAGATTAGATGGGTAATTTTTCTTTATTAAACAAATGTTAACAGGATTTCAGGTTATCGACGTTTAAAAATCTAGATTTTACTGCTATTTTTAATGTTCCGTTCATTTAAAAATGAGAAAAATTCAGGCCAAAGCTTTATAGGTTAATTAAACTATTCAATTAAACTTATTAATTTATTTTAATCTACTGGTCAAATAATATTATATCGCATAGACCTTAATTTTATTTCTAATTATTATCTTTTTTATGTTTATAGTTCTGGTACCACAGCAAACGGCGCTGTCCTGTTTGGTTACTTTTAGTTAAAATAAATCAAGGCTCAGAATTTTTATATGGAATTATATAGATAGAGCAAGCCTATGTGGATGATACGTTTTATTTTACCACAAAGCATCATAAATAATAGAGTCAAGTCAAAAGTGGAAAAAAAATTAAAGAAAACTAAAGTTTTTTTATAAGATTCTATCGAGTAATTAGCTGCTTTTCTCAGCCAAATTTTTATCTTCTTGTCTTTATATTATTGTAAAAAACTAAGGACTAATTGTAAAAAACTGATCATCAAGTAATCTGAAGTTAATTCGTCATTAATGAAATTTTAGGAATGAATCTCGATGCTTTATTCTTGGCACTTTGACGCTAGTATTTCTGTATTTTTATTTTCATTTTCCTTCTTAATAATTGGATATAGCAATTAGTCCTTATTTTTCAGTATTGTACAAATATAAAAATCTTGCTTAAACTTTTCATCTTCAGAATCATTCCATTATTCATTTCAACGCATAAAATGATATCAAATGAGTACATTAAATCCATGAAAGTTATTTATCAATTAATTAAATCTAGAGGGTTGTTACAGTTATCACTGTGTTTTATTATATTATATGCCACAGTTCTGAAATTCTGATCAAATACTTCAAATATTTTAAAATTTATCATTAAAACAATTTTGCATGGTACTTAAGCAGGTTACCATGTATTTCCATTTAAATTATACGGTACATTTAAATTATACGGTATAAATTATATATGGATAAGCGATAATTTTTATGGACTTAATAATTTTGATGGGCTTATTAATTAAGCTAATTAAAACTTAATTTATCTATTTTGATATTAATAACTTTCATGGATTTCATAGATAGGAAATCTCTTCTAATAGCTCTCACCGTTACTGGTTAGGCTGGTTCCGCTGGCTACAAAGGTAATCACTGGTAGTAATAGAAGCCATTCCTTTTTCCATCGTCTAAGTCCATATATCGCTGGTCCCGCTAGGCTGGTTCAAATCTCTCTCTATCAGTCCAGGTCTTGATTTGTCCACATCACTTTTGATCCATCATAGGATTTAACAAATATGAAATATGTATCAACTGTTGTAATGGGCGACGGTGTACGTGCCCCAGCGAAGACAAAGTTCTGTGATAACATTATTAATATAGGTGGTATTTGAGCGAAGATACACACAATTATGTGCGATTTTATTCGCTCGACAGACCCGTAATGAGTGTTTAAGCTGATAGCGTAATATCTTCCACTTTCATTGGCCAGATTTCGTAACCATACGGAAGAATTGAGTAAAAAACATGGACGTAGATTTTCGTCTTTATGGTGATTTCGCGACGGTTCTATAAAAAACATTTATAGCTGTTGTCTGGTTTATAATTTTATCCTTTGCCTGGCCATTTGGGATTAGAATGGATCCAAGGTAATTAAAGTCCAGCACTTCCTCAGCCGGCAATGAGTTGATTAAAATAGATTGTTTTTTATAGCATTTTTCGTTTCGTTTTATTAACATTGATTCTAATACAATTCTTGCTGCAATTGTTGACACATTGTTTGCATTTCATCATAACTTTCAGCAAAAAGAACTACATCAACAGCGTATTTAAGATCTATGACATTCTGGACTGATTCGCACACCTCTTAAATGCCGACAAACGATGTCTATTATCCGGTCTATCATATGGCAGAATATTGTATGGGGAAAGATGCATCCTTGATGTACACCAGTTTTTATTTCGAAAGGATCAGTCAGTTCCCCAAATCCACAGACCTGTATCCTAATAAAATGCCTTTATGAGTCGAATGATCGTCTCTGGCATATCGTCATATTCCATCACTTTCCAGAGTACTGCTCTATCAATTGAATCGAAGGCAGTTGCAAAATCGATAAATAAAGTGATAACGGTGGATTGCTGGTATTTGAAGGATGTTCCAGCACTCTTCTTAACGTAATTATCTGAATCAGCACAACCACGTCCCAGTCTAAATCCAGCTTGGTTAGGACGCATTCTGCTATCATGTGTTGCTATGAGTCTATTTAGCGGAAAGGAAACGAAAATGTCTAATAGGCTAATTCTCGGTAATTGTCACAGTATGCTGTCACTTTTTTAGAAATTGGAACATTTTTGCAATACCGGAGAATATATTTGTTGAAAGAAAGTGAGTAAGTGAGTGATGATGATATTTGAAGAGTTCGGCCTGAGGATCATCTTCTCCGGAAATTTTATTGTTTCCAAGCTTTCTAAGTTGCAAACGTATGGCTCGACAAGCGAATCAGCTATATCCAGACGGCACATCATGGTTAAGTTTGGCCTTAAAAAATTCTTTCCATCTTATGAGGCGATCCTTAATAGCTTTAACAGGCGCCACATTAATATTCCTATTAATATCGTATCATTTCATTGATCTCTTATCGCATTATAGTTGTGCGAAGAAGGCGAAACTTTTCTATTATCAACTATCCGAGCCGCCGTCTCTATTCTTAAAGCCATGCCGCTCCAGTAGCAATTTCTGTCCCGCCGTGTTGCTGTTACTTTAAATTCTTCTAAGCACCTGGTAGTCAGGATTTCGTGACATTCGAATTTTGCAGCTTTTTCAGACAATTGGATAGTTGCTTCCGACATCCAACTAGCGCATTTCCAACTAGTATACTCTAGTATAGCTGACTTCCATATCTTTAGTGGGGACCAATATTCATCCGCCGTTCCCGAGATGTCATTGACATTCACTGATGTTTCAATAATACGATTTGAAATGCGCTTATTGTTCCAGGATCTTTTAATTTGAGATAATTGGAAGAGTTTGGGATACGTTGCTTTTTACGACTCCTTACGACTTTTATACGAATCTTGGTTCGAATCATAATATGGTCTGATCCACGGCGGTTAACAATTTCAGCACCCTGATAAAAACGACTATCAAGTACAGAACTCTTCCAGCGGTGACTGACCAATATGTAGTTATTCTGATTGGAATATTTATTATCTGGAGAGATGACTAGCTATCTTCTCCGATGTCGAAAGCATGTATTAGTAACCAAGAAATCATGCTATTCGGCAAAATGTTCTCTATTGGCGCACTGGGCTCGGATGCCATGTTTGCCAATTACCGAATTTATCGTAATAGCATCATAACTTACGCACGCATTCCAGTTTCCCCCAATTATGATTGTCGCCTCTCGGTAGAGATGTTGTTAATAGCTGAATCTTCGCATAGAACTTATTCTTATCGCGATCATTTGCGCATAAAGTTGGAGCATATACATTGGTGACCGAAATATTGCAGAACTTTCCTTCGAGAACGCCATACGGTTATTTACTGGCTTCCACTCAATTAGAGCAAATCGAGCCAGACATGGCAATCGCTACGCCATTTCGTCTCGAGTTATCCGAGACACCACAGTGATATAGCCAATATCTTTGCTCTTTGATCCAGGTTTAACCGAGAGCCGACATGAGGAAGGCGGATCTCCGACAAATAAGCCACATCCATGAGGTATTTAGAAAGGGTGTGGACAGTGATCGCTTGGCTTGCAACATCCATAAGCATTCTGATGTTCCAAGCAACTATAGCCAGCATCTCGTCGCGCTTACAAAATGTTAGCGGATAGGTTCTTATCTGCCTTGACAGGTTTTGAATTATTATCTCGGTTAGTGAGAGAATTATTGCCATTATTAATTATTAATTACTGTTACTATTATTATTAATTATTATGCCCGGATCGTACTAATCGCATGTATCATGCGCTTCGAATCACTTGACGAAAAATAATAAAATTTTAAGGAAAAAAAACCTATTCGAAGAAGATAATACTATTAGATATTAACAATGGTGCATGTAATAGTAAATAATAAATAAATTATAAAATAAAATAATAACGATAAATTGATAAGTATCATTTTATTAATTTATTGATTATTTTAGATAGGGAATAATTATTTATCAAAAGCAATTTGCAGTTTTTTTCGAATATTTCGAATTTATTTAATAATGTCGTAATTAGCGTCAGCAACCAAGGCTAACTCAATGAAGGTTATCTGTCTGTCATCGCCTTATATCATTTACAGCTCCTATTTTCCAAAAAATTTCCTTTGTATCTTCTGCCACATTTTGCTATGCACATTAGTGAATGTGAGGTAGATGACCTTCGTTTTCATGTAGAACTTCTATATTTTCATTTATTAAATATCCAGTAAAATCCAGTTTCAATAATTTTTTCTGATGGCATATTTTTATTTGCTCAAATTTTAGAATTCTCGAAATATTTTCAAAATTCTTGGTGTTCAATTCAGCCATTAAGTTCCATTTTTTCCTTGGAAAAGTAAATCCCTTGTTAAAGGTGAAAGCCTAGTGAAACTAGGGACATGTACTGCATGTTCTATCAAGTGCCCTCTAATAAAAATAAGTGCGACGGAATAAATCAGCTAAAAATTAGTTGGTTATATCACTGGTTATAATAATTGAGAAAAGGCCAAATGAACGAAAGAAAGATGATTTTGAAAGAGTATGCCGTGATTCCAATATTTAGTACATTTTTATTGTTTAATAACTTCAATAATAAAAGTAATTCTAATAATAATCTCAACCTTGTAATCAGTGGAACCAACTTAATTAGAGGACGAAAGAAACGTGAAACAGGGTCTACTAGTCATTAATTTAATCTCCTTCCTTCACTTATTCGAATTTTTCTGTTTCACTTATTTTTTTCATTGGAAATGAATTTTAAAATCTAATAGATATTTCTAATATTTGGTGGAAATTCGCTTCAAGTTATGGTAATAAGCAGCTTCGATTCATCACTGTCCAATGAAAAAAAAAAAACTCGAGCACAAGCTACAACAATCAACGACAGCAATCACCTAACATTTAATCGAGCAGCTGGAAAACCAACTAAACAGTCAAAAAAGGTATTGGAAACTATTCTGTTTTTCTTTCGGGATAAATTGGATCTTTTGTATACTTCTTTTTTACTGCACATACCATTCCCGGTTTGCTTGGCTTCATAAAGTTGCCTTAGAGCCCGTTACGAAACAATACAATATTACTGATATATGAATGTTGAGCACTTACAGGTTTTTTTATATTTTTGATGGTGACATTGTGCAATTTACTTTGTAAATCAGTTTATGAACTCTGCCCTTTTCATGATGCTCCTTGGAAACATATGGACGAGAGAGAAATCGCTCCGAGGATGTTTTAGTCTTCTATGATAAGATAAATATGCGTAAAATTAAAGGATCAAATTTTTCAGTTTTTAGCTAACATTTCAGTTAATGAGAATGTTTTCTAGGAAATTCAAAGGAACATGGGACGCGGTGGTTGAGTATTATGTCTTAAGTGTTCATCTATTCTTTAATGGAAGGAGTAAAACTGTAAAACTGTGAACAAAAATGAATTTAGAATGACGCTGAGCCCACCTAAAATTTACCGCTATGTGGCTTTCTGGCAAAAGCGCTTTACTCGAGCAACCGCATGCATAACCATCAAACTGAAAATGATTCTTGCTATCAGAAAAGGAACCAAATCTTGTTCAAAAAATCGCAGTTTTCTACTTATTTTATCGCTATATTTTAGCATTCAGTGCAGATCAGTGGAAATGCACCATTATTGTTGGATAAATCGACAATAAATAACCGCTTATCGAGAAGTTTTATGGATTTAAATCGACAGAAGAATTTCTCAAATTCGGTACATTTTCTTTTTAAACTAATTTTTAAGAATTTTTAGGTGTAAGCTACTTTAAATCTACTTTAAATCTTATTTTAGATTTTATCCTCTTTTCTTTTAGAACCTGAAAAATTCTTTTAGTATGGAATTTTCAGGAAATGAGGAATAAAAAAGATTTTTTCACTCGATTAAAGTCAACATTATCGGAAGCATTTCATGTCTCACAAAAGGTGAATGGAACCAGAGATGCAATCGATTTATCGTTAGTCCATATGTCCAATATTTCTTCTTGTACAACAACTGTTCATAATAATGGATCGGATCATTTTATCCGATCAGTTGGCATTCCATCTCAAAAGTAAAATATTTAAATCATTCCATAATGATCGTTACTTTTAGCTTTAAAATTAAGCACACGAGATACATACTTTCGTAAGGTAAATAGCTTTTTATATTGCTTTGCTTTTAAAATATGATGAAAACGAATTCATATACGAATTCATCTTTCATCTAATTTCTTAATTTCTCAGCTCCTTTTATTAAAATTCGCATAAATTAGGATTTGCATTTAAAACCATGGCAGAATAATCGAGTGGTAGTTTCAACTGGAGCCAAGGCATCGTAAGCTCGATTCCTCTCCTGTTATTGAAAGTTGCCTCCGAGCGGTACTATGGATCCACCTATATTTCCAAGTGTTTCTCTGACGAAGGTGTCTCGTCCTATTAGTGACAGTCGATCAAATCAGAAATTATTCGACATTTCATATTACGATAAAATTTCCGTCATTAGGATTAGCATTTTAGTTCAGTGAATGGCAAAAATGTTTCATATTCGCTGAATAATCTCATCGAAAGTCGTCAATTTGTGGTAAATGATTCGACCATTTCCAGTATGGAAAAAAAATTCGACAGACCTGATTTCACTAATGCTCGCTATGCGACTAACTCAGGAATTGAATCTGATAATTGCATTTCACTTATAAATTCATATATATCGTTGGGACGGATGTCACCATTTGACAATGTAATAAATTGGAAAGTTTCTGAATTTTTATGACAGCTTAACTTCCTTATATATTTTCCAAATGTCATTTGCTAGCACTTTTCTTACTGTAATTTCGAAACATTTTTTTTAGAATTTTTAGAGTTCTTAGAGAAAACCGCAAAAAAAATTGATTTAGAAAAAGTATTGAAAAGATTTTTTATTTGCGGAAAATCATAAGTTATTCTTTCCACTGATTAAATCTTATTTTAGAGGCATAACCAAAATAATTTATCAGTGTACAATGATAACAATAATATTTACGATTCGATATCGAATATTTCAACAAAAACTCATAATTCTTCAAATTTTTCTTATAATACAATGGTATTTCTTATTTTTATTGAAATACAATGTCTTTTTTTTCAGATATCTTCCTTTTTTGAATTGAAAATTCTATAGCACTGCCTTTCAATACTTTTGTTGTACTCTTTCTATTTCTTTTAATTAATCGGTTTCATTGGATTTATCCACATTATTTTAAGTCCAAGGTTATTCACAAACATTAATCATTTTGCTTCATTCAGAAATCCATTTTATTTAGGAAAATTCATTATCTTTATCAAATTCTTTTTGCAAATTTATCAGTGAAAATTTTTACCAATGTTTATCAATGAAATTACCGATTGCATTTATTAAATCCAAATTTGAAATTTAAAAATGGAAAATAAAATATAATTTAAGATATGCCTATCATTTAAAACTTTCCCATAATTCCTTGGAATTTCAGAATGCTGGGCAACGGGCGAGCGAAGAAAAACAACCAAGTAATATGTTTATGCATCCAATTATTTTAAATCCCTCACAAACCCCGCCATGTCTTATATAAGGTCTACATCCAAACCTAAGATTTCTGAAAAAAGGATATTTCGCCCAAATTTTCCTTCATTTAAAAATTTATTAAAAAAATTAATTTGGCTCCGTTTTATCCTGAAGTTTACCAACTGTGTAAATACTATTTCTTCAAAACATATTTTTTAATATGCCGATTGGAAAATGATAAAAATAGAACTAAGATTATTATTTTTTCCCTCTTTTTCTGTGTCTGTCACAATTTTCAATTGAATATTAACGAAATCTTTTAGGTCTATTGAACACAAAATTCGTGACTAATTTGAACCGATTTACAAATCGGCAAGCATCATTCATCGCTGCAATTTCTCATGAAATTTTTGCCGAAAAAAATTTAAATAGTATTTTTAGTATTTTAGTATTTTTATTTTAAATTAAATTAAATTAAATTTTAAATTAAATTAAATAGCATTTTAAAATGAGGCATTGATATTCCAGAACTCTGATTCCAGAACTCCACCTCATTTTTAATCGCTTTATTTTTCAAGCTGTCAATGCCGCTATGATATCCATTAATGATGTAATAATACCATAAAATTGTGATATATCCATTAACCATATAATCATAATATTGTAATATCATATCAAAAAAATTATAAAAAATACAAATATTTAAAGTCCAGAAGATCAATTGATCTTTTTTAAAAAAATATTCCATTTTTGAAAAGTTGTTAGGAATTTATTTTTATAGAATTTTTTTAAGGCCCTCGCTCGATTGGAACACATCGGATGCCTTTATTAAATTTAAACAAAACGGAAAAAAGTGGAACACATTTTGAACGTTTTAATTACCCGCTGTCTAGTAATAATATTGATAATAAGCATTTGCCGAGGAGATCGTCTAATAATTTATGCTGTACAACATCGAAATCGAAATATTTTATGAATCAAACGCCGATAAACGAAGCATCTAGGCGGCAATATCGAAATGCAATATGTAAAAGTCTTCCATTATTTTCTCTTGAAGGTGATCGTAATTCGTTGCAAACATTTAGTTCACAACACGATTCATCAGGCCTATTTTTTAGCGAACCAAGTCAAAGTGAGTTTCGTTTGGTTTTATCTGTTTTTAAAAATATTTTAATTTTGCTTCTTCAACGGTTAACAACATTCACTTTTGGCCGGCTTTAGTGGCTATTAGCCTAAAAGCATTTCGCCAAAAGGTTGTTTGAGAATAGATATAGGTGTGTCCTTAGCACTACGCGGGTTTCACTTCCGATGACAGTCTTACTTTCTTTGAGGGATCCGATGGTACTATTCTACCATCCTGTGTGGCCAAAATTATAAGAATGTTGAAATCTACCATTTTGCAATCCTAATTTATGAAAATTCTGAGAAAATTCTAATTCAAAAATTCTAAATCGTACCAATTTCTACTGACATTATTGTTGTTCTTCAATGCAATTTGATATTGTCTTTTAAATGATGATAAAGTTGATCATTTCAATTCTCTTTCCATTTCTTTTAAACAAATCATTACACTTTTTTCGTACTATAATCTCCTCATTCGAATTGCAGCTAGTCTTATTCTACTTTTCAGTAGAGGGTCCTTGGGTGAGGTACTCTGAAAGCTCTTCTATCTTCCAGGCCTCTAATGGAGGACCGGAGGTTGAAGGTGACCCATACCAGAAAAGGATTTTTTATTTTTTATGTGACGTAAAAGTAAAAATTTTGAGAACCATTGATAAGTATAATTTATATAAAATTTATGAAAATTTTTTTATTGGAGAATTGATTATGAGAACTATGACCTTTTTTAGTTAAAGAAGGGAAGAGAAATTCTTCTTTTTTTGTTAGGAATAATGGAAGAATTATTTCTTAAACGTGGGAAAAAGATCGATATGAGTTTTTTACGATTACATTTGATATTCTTATTACCCACTGGAACCCGTTATTTTTTACCCTTCCGCTTATATCTCTACTATCCTTGTAAAAAGTAAATTATTAAAAAAGTCAAACTCACAAATTTATAAGCAGGCATTCTCCAGCTGGATCTGCGACCTCTAATGATCTTCAGATTGTATCGAAAAAGTGGGGAGAAAACCAGGATAAATGATTTTAATAATTTATCAGTATTTAATAATCTAGCAATTTAATAATCTAGCGATTTGTATATATGGTTCATAGATTTCGACAAAATATTTGATTTGAGAGCAAATTTCGAACTAAAATACATAAAAACAAAGAAGTCATCATCATCCTCATTGCCCCAACTTTATCAATAACAGTTGTTCATTATTCATTTTCTCCTTTAACAATTTTTTTTTGGTTTATTACTTTTAAGATTAAAATATTTTAAAAATATCTTAGTAAATATTCCTTTGTAAATATTCGCTTTCTAGTAATGTGGATTTCTAATGAGGATTCATCCTTATTCTTTTTAAAATAAAGTGAATAGTTAGGATTGATTAAATGAATAGTTAGGATTGACCATTTCTAAATACGCTAGCTGTTCGTACTTTAAGAAATTTTTGCCTGGGAACATCATTTGGCGATAGAAATATATGTGGCCAGATGGGTTGCCATTCAATTTTTGAATGGCAGGTTTATTCTTCTTGAATTGAATATCTGCTTAATACGAATCGAAGCAAGCAAACCATTCGGCATTTATTGAGTTTATTTATTGATAACCAGCCAAGCAGGGCGACAACGCCATGTGCTTGTATTAATAATAACAATTAAGATAACAGAAAAAAAAGTATAACATAAACAAAATTAATTATAAAACAATATGATAAAAATTAACAATTTAAAGAGGAAATTACAGATCAATATAATATAGTGCAATTCGAAGTAACATATATATAACCTGAAGATAAAATCGAGATTTCTCACTTCCTGCAGTTCTTACCTGGTGTAAACTCTTCTCTTTTTTTTTTTGTTTTTAAATAATATCGTAAATGATATTATCTAGTCTTTTTTTAAAGACAGCTAAGGATGCACAAGCTACATCGTTCGGTAATTTGTTCCAGTAGTTAATAGTACGAATAAAGAAGTCATGAGTCCTTAGTTTAGTTTTGCATATAGGTTTTAGTTATTTTAAGCCATTAGTTCTTGTTGGATTCAAATTTAGTCTAAAGTTATAATATTTCGAGCAATCTAGTTTAACATAACCATACAGAATCTTATATGTGTAAATTAAATCTTGTTTAATTCTACGAACTGAGAGAGAATCCATGTTATGTTGTAGAAGTGTCCTTTTATAATTAAAGAGAGAGGCGCCTTAGAAAATATTTTTGGAGTCCTTCGATTATTCTTAAAGGTAAATTCATGGACAAATAAGTGATCAAATAAATTCTTTATTATTTCTGTCATCTCATTTTCTCATTTTAAAATCAATCTCCGTAATTCAAGGGAAGTTTGAATTTTTGGGAAAAAATCAAATTGCAATATTTGAATTTATTTATTTATTTATTTATTAAGTCGATGTACAAAGTTTTTAGAGAAAGGATATTCGAAAAGAAATAGG